TATAGTGTTGGTAAAATATAATTATAGAATTAAAAGTATTGAAATAAATTAGTAAAGCGTTCCGCCAGAAAAATAATATAATTAAGTATTTAAAAACCTAATTAAATATAATAACAAACGATAAAGGAAAAAGAATTTACTATATTTAAAATAGGGGTAATAGTAGAAATAAGAATAGGGCGAGAACGTTAAAGGACTAATAAAACCGTCGAAGATAACGGTTAAGGAAGGAAGGTATTGTATTACGAATTTAAATAGTATAGGGGTCGCTTAAACCCTCGGGATTCAATAGCTCCGCCTAAAGTAATTAGTATAACCCTTAGGACTAGGTAGGGCGTATAAATATAAGTACGGGCTTATTAAATATAGTAGCTTACTAATAAATTAAAGCTTATAGTAAGCCGGTATTTATAGTAAACCGGGGCTTACGGTGAGCTAGGGCTTATAAGTGAGTTAATACTATTAGTAAGCTATTACTATAATAGATATTCAAATTAGGAAAGATAGAAGTAAGTACGGAGTATAAAGGAACGATTAGAGAATTCAGATTGTTAGATAGTTCGATAGTAATTAATAGATTATTATTACTAAGACTAGTATTATAGGTATATTTATTATAAACCTCTTAGCTTTACCGAATAGCACTAATAGTCTTTATATCTTCAGCTATCTTACTTAGGCAGATTAGACTGCCGTTCGTCACATATAGGGGGACGCTCTTTACAATTGAGTAGGGCGTTTAATATTTACGCCTTACCCTTATTAGTACTTTAATCATTAGTAAAGGTTTCTTCTATTAATTTTCTATAGGGTAACCCGTTATTGCGGAACTATATACAATTTTTATAATTTTATAATATTAGTAATTAATTAAGTAAATTATTAATTAAATTAAGAATAGAAATAACGTTAATTAACTTTAATAAAGGTATTCTAAATAGAATCCTCCGCCGTATATATACTATCCTCGTACTTGAAATTAGATTGTCCTACTGCGCTAGCGAACAGTTACTAATTGTGTTATTTGCGTTTGAAATAGTCTATTTTATTATATACTTAAATAGAATTGAATTCGATATTATATTTATTATAGAGAGCTTTAATAATTGAATTATATACTACCTCCTTATAACCACCTTAATTAGTTAAATTATTATCGATTGTACTATTTAATATAGTAAGTATTGTTACCTCCTAGGCATTAGTCTACTACTATAACCTCTTCTTTTTTTTAATAATTATAGTTATTTAGCTAGCGGTCTAACTGGCCGCCTAATTAGTGGTATTCTAGTTGGTATTCTAATTAGTAGTCTAATTAGTAGTTTAATTGGCCGTTTAATTGGATTGTATAGACGGAGGGGTGCGTTGGCCAGTATTGTTAGCTATATTAGGTATGGTAGTATATGGGTATAAAAGTGCACAATTTACTGTTACATCGATTTATAGACCTATAAATGTAAAATTTCAGAAATGTGGGATTCTTTTGCCCTAAACGGGACTCTGAAATGCAGTTCTGAACAGGAATTGGGTGGAGCTCAAAATCTCGGTATTTACCGCCAAAATCCGGTTTAGGAGGGTTTGTGCTGTTCTTTTGAAGAATACTTTAGAAAATCTACTTCAGAGCCCGATTTCACGGGAGCCAAACACGCCCTAAGCCTGGCCCAGGTGGCTTCCGTCATTTGGCTTGCGCGAGCTGGACACACAGTCACAGTCACACAGAAGCCGGCCCTGCGCCCAATGTCAGCAACTGGAATCCCCGCTAGCGTCCCTGCCTCGCGTGTACTTCTCCACGAATCTATCGGGCCAAGGTACCTCCTGTGAGGTAGGGAGGGGCAAGGGGCACGCTCGCTTTCAAGGCGAAAGGCACGGAAAGTCTTAAGCCCAACATAACGTAGGGAACTTTATTATCGATCATGAACAATGGCATATGGCATTCATCTCATCCGGGGAACGACCGCAAGTATTTGTAATGAAACGCTGCCCTACATATATCAGAAATGACTTGAAACCTCATTCTCTGCTCGAATACCGTGCTCTGACGGCACGTTCCGCTCTTGGCCCCGAATCCGTACCAATGCCCATACTTGCCTCATCATTGATATACTATCATTACTTTAACTTGCTCTTTATATATATCTCCAATATCACTTCAGTAGATCATCTGTCTTTGCAACTTGGGTTCATTACAGCTCAGGACAGACCCAGCCCAACCGAAGCGCCACCAGGCACTGTAGTAGATGTACCAACATTCCGCCCAACCAGGTTCCGAAAGTCAAGTCCAACGTCAGAGAGCATACTCGCGTGCTCCTTTGCCCTGTTCACACACTCAGTCCATACCTCGCCGCCCTCCTCTGCACTGCTGAGCTGTCTAGCTAGGATGACGTTGAAGGCGTCGACTTCCTCCTTGGCCCACTTCACGCAGGCACTCATCATAGGTGGTGGGAAGCAACTCTGAAAGCAAATGACCGTATTCCGTATGACCATAAAGTAAACGAATGAAATCTCCCAGATATACAGGTGCAGATCTCCCTGGAATATGCATTGCCTACTGGGCGTCAGTCCAATCCTAACAGAGTCAAAAGCCCAACTGGTTTGCGCAAACATACCTTGATCGCTTTTGAATGACCTCACTTCGGGCCTCGAGGTAGGCTTCCCGCGCTCTATCCTCAAATCCCAACCTGACCAACCACGTCACGTTCCTTTTAGTCTTTTTCTGGTCATTATGGCTGTTCACGAGCTCACGGACAATCAAAGTCGCAAGCCTGGCGCATCTCTCATCCACTTTGAACGAGATAAAGTCCTGTGCGATCATGTTGTTCTTCAGACCGGAGGCGAGGTTTTTCAACATCTCGATTCGCGCAACGGCTGGCTCGATTTGCTGAAGGGCAATGTTGATGTCCAGTTCGTCCATTTGGCTCTCCACCCAACGCAGGTTCTGTTGTTTCCCATCGACCTCGATGAGCATGTCCTTGATATCGGAAAGAGTCTCCAGAAGCTCTGTCTTTTGGAGCAGACCCGGATCGCGTGAGGCAAAGTAGTTGATCGTTTCTTTTGCCTTATTAGTCGCATCTCGTTCTGATTGAAGGTTCCTGCGTAGTTCCTCCACCGTCTTGCGGATATTTAGAATCAAGGTTGTCTTCTCGGGGTCCTCGGGCTTCTCGGTTCTGTAAATGAAGGACTCGTTCTGACCGCCACCTCTGACCATAATCGCATCAGCAAGCTTATTACGGCCATTTGACGAGTCTCCGGTTCCAGCCATGTCAACAACTTCAACGTCCAAGAGATGCCAGCAACGGTCAGCAACGAGCTTCGTCATGGGGCCCCGTGCATCCGCTCCAGGACCGTCGATCTTTCTCTTCTTGCGCGACGCAATCAGCAAGTGGTCGTTGAGCAAAAAGATTTGCATGGAGCGCCTCGACTTGTAGGTGGCGTTATCTAGTTCAATCCATGGGCCTGCATTTTGAACAACATGGCGGCCTTGTGAATTGGGTAAGAACTTTTGTGATCCTTCGACACTTTTGTATAGAGCCTATCGATATGTTTAGCAAGGATACGAGTGAAGTCGGGTTTGAAGGTAATACTGACTTGCATCTGAGCGCTCCACAAGGCAGTTCGGTCAGTGATGGAGCTTCGCCTGTCTCTCTTGCTCAATCCTGTCGAAAACTCGGGTCCCAAACTCCCCGAACTATCGGCACTGTTGGAGGAAGCTCGAAGGGCGGTAGTGTTCGTCTTAAGTTCCAACATGAGGTTGCGGAGAGTGCGCATCTCCCCTTTGAGCTTCTCGGCCTCTTTGCTGATCTTGATAAACTGCGTGCGGTTCTGGTAGACATTTTGCTGAAGGTCGGCAGCTGCTCGAGCCTTGAGTTGTTTCAAGGCGTCCTCGTAGTCCCGTATCTCATCTTCGGTCGCTTCACCGAGAACCTCGGCCACATCTAGTAGCAAGTCAGCAAATCGATCCGTGACCCCTATCCTTGTCCAACCCCCATGACGTACACTGCTCGGGAGCAAAGTTAGGGTCTCTCAGGGTCCGTATGTCCACCCTAGGTGGTTCCCTTCCCATGGGTCCAAGTCCTCCAGCATCTCCTCCTCTAGATGGCGGGGAGCCGACCTGGGCTTGCATGTACTTTTCGAGGTCCGGAAGAGCAGGCATCGGATTCGAAGACGGGTCAAAGTCGGTTGGCATATTACCGAAGCGAGTCGAATACCGCTTCTTAACCAAATCTGATGTCTATTGGGAATAACAGATTCACGTGTTAGCCTCAAGACTCCAGCCATTGGCGTTGCTGATGAGAGAGAGCTCCCCTTACCTTGCCGCCCGGGGGCGGAGGCCGTGGTCTCGTCATGCGTGGTTCGTCGGCCATTGTAGCCTCCGGAGGGGGTTGAGGCATGCCATTGTCCTGTGGTATCGGAGCCGAAATCTGCCTGGGAGCGCTGATGGTTGGGCGGTTCTTCCGCTTGCCGCCGCTTCTCAGCGATATCTTGGATCGTTCTTCGGACATGATGGTGGTCGCTAGTCCTTAATCGCCCGCTCGGAACATGAGAGTCGAAGGAAGAGGTCAGGTTGTCGCTGTTGTGTCGTCGGAGCTATCGCACGGCTAAACACGCTGCGACATACAGGTACTGGCGAGGTGTCAGCGAGTGGGAGGGCAGAGGGTCGCGGAACAACACGCCACCAGATTATTGACTGTGGTTGTTGATAGCTTCAAAAGTGACATGGAGGCAGCAAGTGACAACCTCCAGGCTGATGGCAATGGGGAAACGTCTCCGCAGTCCGGATGGACACACCCCCTGGATAGCGGGTACCTGTACGTATGTACCTGGCCGTGGAACGTCCCTTCTGTAACCCCGGCCGTCGTTGCCAGCGCCGTGGAAAGCCATTGGCTCGTGCACCACTGTTCAAGTCCTTGCTAGCGTCATTGGCCCGTGAGCTTGTCGGTAACGCGGAGTGCAGTTTGGAAAAAAATATCAAATCGATAACCGGATCAGGGCGTGTTGAAGAAATCCAAGCTGGGACAACTTGAATCTCAACTGTTCGTGTAGTGTACGGGTACGATAATTACGGTATGTGCAATGTCTTGACCTGCAAGCTTACCTCTAACCATCCAATCTTCGGGAGTGCTGTTGATGTCCATTGCTTGTGAACCTTCCCGTGGAGCCAGTGTCATATACTGACCCCCACTTGCAGCAGTCTTTCCGGTAGTACTAAGAAATCGAGAGGCTCAATATCCATCGCATCTTTCCCTACCATTATAATTCTTCTCTCTCGACTCTCCCCCGCATCCACCATCACCACACAACGAGCCAACAAGATGCCGTCGCAAGCCGTCACCTACACCACCGCTGCCGTTGCGGCCGTCGCCACGGGTTTCCTCGGTTAGTTTGCACTTGGATCTCAACGTCACCACTTTCTCGAGATGTAACCATTAGTTGCTGATGCCTTGCGCTCCCCTACCTTCCAGCCTACGCCGTCTACTTCGACTACAAGAGGCGCAATGACCCCGAGTTCAGGAGACAACTCAGGCGCAGCGCCAGGCGACAGGCTCGTCAGGAGAAAGAATACGCCGAGTTGAGCCAGCAGGCCCAGAGACAACGAATCAGGCAAATGGTTGATGAGGCCAAGGAGGAGGGCTTCCCTACCACTTCGGACGAGAAGGAGGCCTACTTCCTCGAGCAGGTCCAGGCTGGTGAGATCTTGGGCCAGGATCGTAAGTGTTTTGCCAACCAAGCGAGAAGAAGGAACGGAACTTCCGGGACATGTGTCGGCTACTAACACTCCATTCGTAACAGCCACCAAGGCCATCGATGCCTCCCTCGCTTTCTACAAGGCCCTCAAGGTCTACCCCACGCCCGGCGACCTTATCAGCATCTACGACAAGACCGTTGCCAAGGTAAGAGGAATACGCCGCATAGCACGGGTGGAATGTTTACTGATCCGACAAACACTAGCCCATCCTCGACATCCTCGCCGAGATGATCGCTTACGACCCCAGCCTCAAAATTGGCACCAACTACACCGGCGGCGTCGACGTTGCCGAGCTCATGCGCGAGATGGCCTCCGCCCCCGGTGTTGGCCTCGACTAAACGAGTCCACCAAATACAGCAAGAAGCATAACGCTAGGGAGAGTGACAACAATAGCCCACCTCCCAAGAAACGTCCGGGGGTGTCAGTTGACGTTGCGGTGGTTCCCCTCGCAGTCCCTCAAAGGGGTTAGGGGAATTGGGTGGTTACGGTTGTTGGGAAAACGGCGCGTGACGCACCATCGATGGCTTTTGTGGACGAAAGGAAGAAAGCTAGGAATAGTGGAAACAGGACGAGCATTCCAACAGACGACCCCGGATCGATTTATACCCAGCCAGCTAGAAGAAAAAGGGGAGGCTAGCGGTCCTTTGCTTGTCTGACACATAACTCCCCTTTCACGCACGTCCTTTGCACCGCACTTTGGCTCTCTCTCCCCGGTCAGTATTGCTCTCTCACATCACCACTCTTGAACTCCCAACAGGTCAGCAGGTTTACGAGCACCACACTTCCTCCCTTATCATTGGCTGGCTGGTATCTCGACCGAGCGTTTGAGGGTCGAACGCTCACCCGAACTATCTACCTACCACCTTGTACCATATTTCTGTTCTGTTCTGTTCATGTTCCGGAGATGCGCGGGATGGTGGTGCGTCTCCTATTTTATCCTGTAGCATCATGTACATAGCGAAAAATTGGGTCCTATCAGGAAAACGGACGGTGATTTCAGCATGCGCAAACGGGACAGGCAGGTACGGGGTCTGCAGGCCACTTCAGGGGTGCTTAATGAGACAAGAACGTAAGAAACGTACTGCCAATCTTCCCATTACAGTCCAGTACCAGTTTGTTTGTTAGCTCAAGACCTCGTGTCAACTTTCCTCTGCGTTTTTATGGCTAACCAATGCGTGATCCTACCTTGAATACGCTATTTCTGATATTCAAAATGTTATATTGAATCAGGCCAATGCTCTTTGTCATACTTGCTTAGCCATTCAATTTGTCCACGTGAGCTTTGGGACTATACGGTATTTGTACGCTATCAGGAATACCTCCTACCCAGTATCAAGCTGACAATCAGACCAGAGTTGGAGTGTGGATCAAAATCCAAATCAGCAAGATTTACATCATGAGTTGGGTATGTACGTTATTTACCCCTGAATACTTGTACAATTTTGCTTACCATGCTCATCCCCATCTCTATGGTCTCTCAATCGGTCGACCCTTCCTATCCACCCTCTGATCTCTGGGATCAAACCCGCCATTGCCCCAGGTCGCCCACTCGGGCGTCGCAGCGCCCATGTAGTCCTCTGGGCCAAAATCGCCATCTGGGCCCTTTTCCTCCAAGAGATCGAAGAATTTCTCGTAATCAATAAGAGTATGGTACTTTCCGTCAACCTTGAACCGGTCGCTAGCCAGCAAAACACAGCAACTGTGCGCGTGTTCGGCCGCTATCCCGTACCCCAACCCGCGCTTGTTCAGCGCGTCGTTCAGCTTAACTACAAAGTCGCACACCTCCTGGTAAAAGGGGACGTTGGCCATTGTGAGCCCGGCAGCGCCGGCAGTGGAGGTACCGCAATAAGTCACGCCTTTTAGCTCTATAAAGCAAGGAAGGGCCCGTTCGACCAGGTCCGCGTACCCCTCGATCTCGTCCTCGATGTTGAAGTCCTTGACCAGCGTCAGGCGGAAGACGGTACGCTGACGGAACCGGCGCTCGCGCAGGATGTCGAGGCAGCGCTGGAAGCGCTCCCAAAAGTCACGATGAAGCGGCCGATCGATACGACGGAGCGAGTTCTTGTTGGAGGCATCAATGCTGACATACAGCTGCGTGACGTGCTGCAAAGCGGCGAGCTGGTCCGGGTGCTGGGCATTGCAGACAAGAAAGGAGGAGATGCGCTCCTTGTGCAGCATGCCCAGGAATTCGTTGATGTACGGGTAAAAGATGGGCTCGCCGACCAGCGAAAGGGCGCAGTGCCGGATGCGCATTGCTTCCACGAAACGGCTGCTCGAAACTCCCGGGACGCCACGCATCATCTTGATTTTCTTGTAGTGATTCTCCTTGATGCCGTTGAATATGAGGTCTGGAGGGTCGACGACCCAGCGCCAGGAGGTGCCGACTGGGTTGGTGCCATGACGCCAGCAGAAGACGCACTTGTTGGAGCAGGAGAGCGAGGGCGTGGCCTCTGCGCACCTGTGGCTCGCGATTCCGTAGAAAGAATACTACTCAGTGGTAAAGTTAGATCTCGACTCGATACACAACCATAGTGTAGATCTTACTTTATAACATGAGCCCCTCGAGCGGAGCGCTGACTTGGTCCAACGGCAGATCTGAAATAGGGTTAGGGTTAGTTACCAATTAATTTAATTGCCCCGTCAATAGACTTTGTAATCAGGGTATTACTTTACCTTCACCCCGCTGTGAGAGCCGACAATACTATACCCTTGCTTGGTCAAGGATGTATATGTTGGTGAGTCTTTCGGGACCATCTCCTTAACGGTAACAGTTGCTGACTTCCTTGCGCGAACAGTCTTTCCGGTCTTTCCGAAGTCGGTAAAGTCAATCGCAATCGGCGCGGCTGGACCATCTCCCTGTGATTGTTTCATGATGCGTCCCAAATCCTCGACATCTTCGAGGGTCTTCTTGGACTCGGACTCCTCGTACACAACCTCACCGTCATCCTCCGCGATATCTTCTTCGTCGCTTTCGAAGGGGTCGCCAGAACCGGGAACGCCCTCTCCAAGACTTCCAGTCTGCTCGATCATCTTGAGAACGTCCACGATTCCGTTTTGCCATTCAGACAGTCTCTCCTTACCATCTCGCTTGTAGTCGCCCATGCCGAGTGGGAATGCGCGCTTACGCCCTGTAAGCTTGGCCATCCACCTGTCCACCTGCTTAGCCTGCACGCAGTAGCCCTCCTCCTCCGTAGGCCATCCATCTCTATCGCCATACCCAAACACTGAGTATCCAATAAGCGGCGCCAATGGGGATGTATCGATGCGAAAATCGTTATGTGTCTCGTCCAGATGCGCAAGGAAGGTGTCGTTGATGGAATCAATATTGTAACTGGGAATGATCAAGCAGTAAAAATAGTCCACGGGACCTTTCATAGGTGAAAGGAAATATTCGTCAAAGTCGATCTCGGCAAGGTCGAGGACCTGGGGGGCCAAAAAGTTGCTCTCGGCTTTGCTCTCGGCGTCCGATTGACCAACGAGCAAGTCTCCGAGCTCCTTTGCAAAATCCTTAGTGTACCGTTCCGTATTGCCTGTGAGTGACGAGTAAAAGACGAGGACCTGAATCTTGCGCGGCCCTTCGCTTTCGCTACCGGTGTCGTTGCCATTCGTTCCTTTCTTCGTGCGGACCTTGTCGCCCTTTATCCTCTTGGGACCACCATTAGCAGACTTCGCCTTCTTTGTAATCGCCGCGCCGGTCTTCTTGTCCTCGACTTCTGTCTCAACAAGTGTAGTTTCCTTCGTTTTCTCGTTGGGTTCGTAGATCTTGGGCAGGACGAGCAGCGCTTGTCTCGGTTCCGAATAGAGATGGAGGTAGGTCCTCAGTAGACCCAATAGGAAAACGGCCGAGAGAAGGATGGGGATTCGGTGTTCGTGCCACAGTTCCACGGCATCTGGTATAGGCCGGCGCAGAGAGTACAATTAGCTTCGGCGAACCAATGCAACTCCGGTGTCACCCCAACACCATCCACTTGTGCGCGCGCAGGCACGAGACCCAAGAGGGGCAAAAAGATATTTCGAGATGGAATGACATACAGCGAGCAACCTCGGCGACGGCCGCCGGGTTCAGACCCGGTATTTCGAAAGGCATGACTGGTCTGGCGTTGTTGGTTTCCCTGGAAGGGAGAGGCTACGACATACGCAACCGAGTTTTGCGAATGTTCAGTTTGCTGTTGCAAAAATCACACAAAGAAGAAAATCTTGCCCCGCACCAAGATAGAGCTACTACACTACAAACGGAACGGCGCTTTTGAGATCCATGCAAGCAATTGTGGAGTTTTCGTTTTAGCGCTTTGTGGGGCCGAGACGCAGGGGTGTCTATCGAACACCCGCACACGCTCGATACTTACGGCACCAGGCTTTCGAGACTCCCTTTCATTTCATCATGAGGGCCTGGAAATCATACTTCAGAGAATATACGCCTTCGCGAGCCATGTTAGATTGCGTTTCACATTGAATTCATAATTTGAGAGTTCCTTTGATAGATTAAACTGAGCTTGGACTGTACCATTACACAAGAAGCACCATACCACTCAACATAGCAAAATCGAAGAGCATTCCATTGACACAAGATAAATCCAAATCGATATCTGCTGAGGAGATCTGCCAGAAAGTAACAATTCATACACTGAACTCTCACCATCCGTTACCAGTTGCTCCACCACCCAGTTATGCAACATCCTCATCACTGTCCTCCTTTTCCGTATCATCCACCGCCGGTATTCCATCGCCTTGTCTCCCACGACTCCCCGACCCTTCAGCCTGGACAGCACGCCTGTATGTCGCCAGCCCACCCTCAGCCAAACCTTCCGTCGATCCACCAACGGAAGCAGCATCATTGTTGCCACTACCATTGCCAGTACTATGTCCATCTCCATCCTGTTTTGTGTCACTACTCCCTTGACCTTCGCCCTCGTCTTTCCGTCCGACAATTACGTTCCCCGCAACCAGCATAGCAGCGCCCACCCACCACATAGGTGGTAACGCCTCAGAAAAGATGACAAAACCGAGCATGGCGGTGATGACGAAGTTAGATGACGTGTTCATGATGGAGACCTGCGTAGTGGAAAGACCACACTTGAGGGCTTTGGTAAAGAGCGTCCACATCTGTGAGAATAAGAAGAGGTGAGTAAGGGTGTGATAAACAGAAGAGGAGCTTGTGGCAAGGCAGTTGACTTACGACACCATTGAAGAGGAGATTGAGTCCAAAGAAGACCTATCATGAAAGTTATCAGGTCAGCCTTCATTGTCTCTCAAGCAATTCAGCATAACATAAACGGCGAGCATATTGACTTACACCTCTCACAACAACCTCAATCACCTTCTCTTCCTCGGAAAGATGCAGCAGCCTAGCAACAGCCTGAGAGAAGTTCGAAGTGAGTTCCGTCGTTGTCCTAGTCAAGTATTCATTAGCCTCTTCTTCAAGTCATCATCCCGACCATGGTCAACCATAATGTCAACGAAACTGCAAACTTACAGCTTCGCAAAAGCTCCATTGAACGCAGCACACGCTCCACTAGCCATAGCAAGCACAATCCACTGATTCCGGCCTGCCCAAGTCGTCTTTGCCGGTTCTCCAGCAGCAGCAGCAGCAGCAGCAGCAGCATTAGACTTGAACCCTTCCGCCCGACCGCGACCATCTAACAACGGCCGGCGTTCGTCCTCGTCTGTCTGCACTCGTTGAGTGGAATCCATGTTTTTCCTTGCACGTAGTCTTCCCCTCGGTTTGAGTTGAAGAGATAAAACGGTTTTTGATTTTATTGGTGGAGAGTACGGAAATTGGAATGCATTGCTAAGTACTGATGTCTTGGGAGACATACATACTGAGCTAAATGCTTGGGAGGGGAAATTTTGGGCCAGGATAGCGTCCCCCCGAGTTAGGTTCCACACAGTCGATTTCTTCGGGTCGTTTTTCTTGCATTGAATGAGCTCGTCCGAGGCACAATAAATGTGACGAACCAACAGGTTAGGTAAAACAGTCCACTACCGCGCGTCAAGGTTAAAGAAAAGGCCGTTGCAAGACTGTGATAGGTATTACCACAATTCGAAAAGACATCGGCTAGAGTCCCATGTGCATATTTTTTTATCCAGTAATTGACTAGAACTTGAGATTAGAGGTGTTACAAAGACGCTTGGATGCGTAGTAGGAATAGTATACCCAAGGGATGATGTCAAAGGTCTCAGTTATTTTGTCCAGGACGAGATGAGCATCTTGCAGAAGGGGGGGGAGTGGGGGCATGCACGGGCTAGAGACTGTTGCCGGCAGGGCAAGGCGCCTGGTTGGCTGCACCGTGCCGCACTAGCGGGGGGCTCGCCTGGCAACTTGAAGTCTGCCAGGCACATTCAGCCACGGGCATCAGCCCCACGACAGGTTGATTGGGTTAGGCTAGATTTAGCTCCCCACTTTATTATTCCCTTTCAGTTTAATTGTTTTCCACAGTAATATTCTCCCTCCAGTCAACTCCAAACACAACAACATTATGTCGACGCGACTACGACGATCACCAGTTCATTGTTCTAATTGTCTTTTTTCCCGTCCACAGAAACAGGTCTTTCGAAGCTTCATCTTGCCTTCAATTCATGTTTACGGCGTTCATGTGGTCAGAGATCAAACTGTATAACGGGAATATGTGTCTGGAACTGAAGTCAAGAAACCCCTGGATCTGAACTCTGAAGGGACCCTTTGCTTCCAATAATACACCACCTTCATGATGCATGCTGAACACTGCTATTGTGAGAACCCCATGTTTGCCTCGTACTACCTGAAAACATCAAGCAAGTGTATACACCACCTCGCCCATCACAGCCCGCAACTGTCACTCCAAATCATCCCACATTCCTTCTTAACACTACCTTTCACCACTTCAGAGCAGGTAATTACGACGACGATAAACGTGCCATATGGGGCAGTAGGAATTTCTAGCTCTTGTCGGCGGCCTCCCGGCTACCTGTCTAGAAGGGCATAAGAGTTTGGCTTCCACCACCTCTTGGTTTTGAGACTATCTCGTCTTGAATTGAATATACTTACGTACAATGTTGCATTTGACAGCAACTTCAATGCCTGATATTAAATATCTTTCTACTTCAACACCATCCCACAACAGCAGCTTAACCTTAACTATTGACCCTTCGACAACAGGCACTCGCCACTACAGCAAAGCAAACGCACGAACGAGTTAGTTCCCCTCTTCGCATCTCCCCTCCTTACGTCTCAACTACTAATGTCTTCCTTACAGAAAAGCGTGTCAGAATATTGTACAGCGCCAGGCAGAACGCATTGGCCAATGAACCGGCGAGCTTACTTCTCTGTTACTCAAGCAGTGCGTTCCGCTCTCCTCCCTTGCCTTCCTTTCGCCGCCCCCTATCTAACTCTTTTAGTTTACAAAGTTCGTTCTTCGACCATCCGTTATCGCGATGGTACATTATCGCTCGGCCAGTTCACGTTGTTAGCTACGGCGCAAGTGGTTTTTGCAGGAAACAACGACCACGGCTACTGTACCCATCGTCGTCTGAGTTTCAGTACTCGGTCCCGTTTCTCGAGGTTTCTGTGGACGGCTTAATCAATCCGGAATGGTTGAGGAGACAATGCATGGCTGAGGAGATAGCCACAAAGCTTGGTTTACCTCCCTTCTTTGTAATCTATATGTTCTTCTGCTAACGTTTTGACTTCCATTGCATCGAAGACTCAAGCTGAGTGACCTCGATTCGCTCTACGGAGCTCCAGTCACATCAACGAAGGCGACCAGCGTCTCGACAAAACGAGCAAGTCGAGGCTGAGGAAGAATGACGCTTGCGTTGATAACAAAAGGCAGGAGACGTTGCCACCCACATTGATCCAAAAGCGTTAAGTACATTTAAAGCCCCCACGCATCTGGAGCTTTTCTGGGTCAGCATCTTTTCCTGCCTCTTTGGCTTTTCGTTTCCATCCGATACATAACCACAATTCTGCGACAATTATTCAGTGCAATCACTCAGTCATTGGATCATTCAGTCATTCATTCAAAATGGAGGGAACGACTCGGAAGTGTGGCACATGTAAAAAAGTTAACCGATACAAGCATTTTGTCGGCAAAAGAGATTCCAGTAGGTAGTTAAATGGTAAAATGCGACGCCTCCCCGGCGTCATGAACGTTTCGGCAGCCAAGATTTCAACGTCTCAACACAAGAGTTATTGCAGGCTCAACTGCAGCAGAGAGGCCAATTTGGACCTCTAGTCTGTGACTCGGCAACATTTCGAAGCCAGAAAATGTCAGTGCAGCAGTCCAACCCCAGCCGGCTTAGAGAGCTGGTCCGAACCCAGATCGTCCTGTGATTTGAGTTACTCGAAGAATATCGGCAGTCAATGTGGCGCCTGAAGGTCTAGTCCAAGTCCCACCTCGGCATTCATCACTTCGTCACCGGCCACCCCAGCCCCTTCGGCCATTCAATTCGAACACTATTAAACTCCTCAATTCCAAGTAACCAAGGAACAGGCCACTCGTACTGGACAGGATACCCCAAGGTACAAGCTCGGTGGATGACATTCACAAGATGACCAAGGGACCGCTGAAGCCCGTCAATACGGAGACCAGATTCAAGGCGAACATCGTCATCGAAAGCGCAGAGAGGACAAAGCATTACACCCACCCCTTTATTAGCAAAAGTTGATTATTCGGAGGCATCCCAGTCTACACGAGTCTACCCCCCGTCAACAGACACAGGCGCAGGCACAGCAACATCCACATGGCGACAACGACAAGTTTGCTTGCCCGGAATGCCATATTATTTGACCTATCAGGGACCGGAACCCAGCCACGGGCATCTATCTAATAATTGAGACCGAAGACGACCGATTGATCTGCCCGGATTGTCATATCTCTCAACATGCTGTACGTTAGTGGCTACCACCTTTCGATGGTGACATCGAGGACAGCAGCATATATACAAGCGTCATTGTATTAGGTTCCCTCGAGACGTTGGCTATATCTGTCGTCAATCACCTCGGCTCCCTTCAGCAATCGATGTCGTCCATGATACTCCTCAACTGTACGAGTAGCCGCTTCTTAGTTAACAGACGGGAAATTGGCGTCTGACTAGGATTCCTCGACCAACATCACCCTGGATATGGCGACATCGAGATGAAGGAACAATAGCGTAAGCTAAGTGCATCTCGCAACCAAGCCGTTGGTGTCATTGGAAAGTCGCCTTCGACTCACTCTCGAGAAGCTCGTCCGTCTCGAAGAGCGTGGTTATACTGCGTGCTGTGCAATGATTACCCCATCCTCGATGCTTCTTCTTGACGGGATAATCAAAAGTGCCACCCTTTGGGCCTGGAGATAGGGGTACTTTTTGAAGTAAAGTTCCGGTTTTGACGCGGCATGGGCTGGTCGACTTCTCCGTCTTGAACTGTTCTCGATCGTCTCGGTTCTACTTCTCGTCACTGCGCTTTGCGCTGCAGCTCACGATCTTGACCTTGTCCGCCGTAACGACAGACTGACCGCCATCCATCTTGAAGGTGACGTTCTTGATGAGGAAAGTCCAGACCTCGTCGCAGAAGCGATAGGTGTCAAGAGATCCCTGTATGTTGCTCGCCGGCAGATGCCAGCAATAGTTAGCGAACCATTTTCCTTCGTGACACAGTGTCATGAACACAGGAATGGAAAGGGTGTGTATTAGATGATGTATTGATTCTGTATGTTCATGTCCAGAGCGCACGTGTGGTTGGGACAAGCGAAGTCCCTCGGTATGACCTTGGGAATAAATGGGAGTAGTATCTACGGGTCATGTAAGATCCAGGAAAGCAAAATATTCACCTTGAAGGTCAAACGGGCCTTGACTTTCTCACTGAGAGCCTCAGTGATAACTCGATCGAACTGCATAAGAACCTTCATGGCGAGTTGAGGATCAATGCGTTCGGCCCCAATGAGGTCGTCAAGTGCATCGGTCAGGGTCGACCCAAGACTGAAAAGGATTAGCATACAGATTGTCCTCTATAATCCGAAAGCGTATTCAGCGCCCCAAGGGCCCTGCAAAGGGCCACCGTGAGACTGGCAATATGTACCTGCCATGGCGATACAAATCGTAGTAGTTGGTGTTCCCGTTGGCCGCCATCTTGTCTTCTTGATTCGATTTACTTGAGATGCACGGCAACGTTCGGGACGGCGACGGCGAAGATAGATTGTTGTTTGTTGATGGAAAGGTAAGGGTTGGTTTAAATAGTCTGGGAGAAGGAGACGAGGAAGGGGACAATAGGTGGCCGGCTGAGTCAGCAGAAGGCGTAGGCAGCGTCATCAGTCACGTGTGGCCTGAAGTTATAGCGCTGTCGCGGTGGCACGGGTGGCTGGCAGGCTGGCAAGGCACACTCTGGTAGGCCGCCGTCACTGGACCACAGCGCCTGGGATGAAACCAAGTGGTGGAAGGTACGTAGCGAATTGGCGCGTTACCCGTCCTGATCAATCCACCATCCACTCCAGCGGCATGAACATCGAGGTTCCCGGCTAGCACCTAAACGACGATAACAACGACGACGACGACGACTAGCTCCAAGAAGGTCGCACCGGGACTCAGTCAGATTCTTTCGAAATCCCAATCCTTCATATCGCTCGACAAACACCACACACCCTCAAACATGAGCTTGACGTACGGCGCCGGTGGCATAGGGACGTCTCTGGCCGTCATTGGAGCTTGTGAGTAGATGGCATCTTGGAAATGGCTGCATCCCCAGCCAGCCGGTCCAGCCTAGTCCAATCCAGCATTGACATCAATACTATGCGCGCCTGTATTACTTTCAAAATATGACGGCTAACAAATTCTCGCAGATATGCTCTTTACCGGCAGCGGCGAGGCCTTCAATGTAGGCTTCACCAAGTTCCCAACATCACCCACTCCACTCGACGTCATCCTCTGACACGCATGGATTCTGCATAGGTCGGAGCTTTCCTCGAATCGGTATCACCATACGCCTGGGCGGATCTGGGTATTGCGCTTTGCATAGGTCTTTCCGTGGTGGGCGCGGCATGGTACGTTAGGGAAAAGGCTACACCCATCCCCCAGCGCCGCACGGCGTCCGCTACAACCAGCTAGAGAAGAGTTGGGCTAACCACCGGGTTGATCTACGGAACAGGGGCATCTTCATCACCGGTTCCTCCATTCTCGGTGGAGGTGTTAAGGCACCACGAATCCGGACAAAGAACCTAATTTCCATCATCTTCTGCGAGGTCGTCGCCATCTACGGCGTCATCATGGCCATCGTGTTCTCGGCCAAGCTGCAACCCGTCACCGGCGCACAATACTACTCGGGTGACAGCTACTACACGGGCTTTGCGCTCTTCTGGGCCGGCCTGACTGTTGGCATGTGCAACCTGGTGTGCGGTGTTGCCGTCGGTATCAATGGCAGTGGTGCTGCGTTGGCGGATGCTGCTGACCCTACGCTGTAAGCTTGCTGTCGCGATCCGGACAAAGAGGTCGTCGAGTCATGTTACTAACGTGGCCTTGTCTTTAACAGCTTCGTCAAAATTCTGGTCATTGAAATCTTCAGCTCCGTTTTGGGTCTCTTCGGCCTCATTGTCGGCCTGCTTGTTTCCGGCAAGGCCCCCGATTTCGGCGCACAGTAGAACATGGACTAGAAAGGAGAAAAAGAAGCTTCCTTGCTTTCTTTTCTCTCATGCATCTTGATATGCAACAACAACAACACACAACAAACAACTTCTTCGGGCTGCTAGCGAACCAGCAGGCTTTTTGGCGCTAGCTAGCGGGCGTGTCTAAGTCAAGGTCACATTGTTAACGGCGTTTATTGGAAGAGGCATTCGCATGGCTAAACGATTAGGGCGCGGTCGGCATCATCGCACATGAACAGACACGAGGGTAGAAGCTTTTCTAAATCCTTTTTGTACAAAAATGAAAAAAAGAGGTCAGTATCGTTATGGAGGGAGTCCATCAAAATGTCCATTTGCCTGGGGCTGTGACCCTTGTCTGTATTGTATCATGTTCTATCATCACTTACACATCACTGCGTAAACCGCCCATGAGCAACGCTTCCACCTTGGCACCCTTGCGCAACGGCTCTGGTCCGCAAGGCATGCAGAGAAGCGCGTTGGCCCCCTTCATACTTCCCACCCGCGAGCTTCTCTGTCCTCCTGTGCTGACCGCGGTGAGCACTCCGTCCCTGCTAACGGAGACAATGGCCCGGTGGTACTCGGGTCTAGATCGATCGAGGGAGAAATCATGGCCCAGTGTCACAGGCACCTTTGGCAAGCCAGGTGGTGAGACGCCCGACATTTGGTGCAGAGACGGCAGTACAAACAAGTGAAACGTAACCAAAGCCGATGCCGGGTTACCTGGTAGCGAGAAGATTACCTTGGAAACTCTCTCTCCGTCGTTATCCTTTACCGGAACGGTAGCAAACGTGGTAGGCTTGCCGGGCTTCATTGCCACCCGACCAAAGTGAATTGTTCCGCCCAGCGAACGCTCTATCGTCGGCTTGAGGAGATCCAGCTCACCCATGGACACTCCGCCGGTCGTGATCACCACGTCAACCTGCCTCAACGCCTGCCGCAGCGTCTCCTCCAAAGTCCCGGCCTTGTCCCGCGCCACTCCAAGATCAATCACCTCATACCCCCAATCTCTCGCCGCCGAAATGAGAGTTGGCCGGTTCGTATCGCGCACCTCGCCCAGCCGCAAGTCTCCCGGGCGATCATGGTCCACAATCTCATCACCCGTAGATAAAACGCCAACAACAGGACGTCGGTACACCTGCACCTCACCCACACCCACGGCGGCCAACAGACCAATCTCACCACCCACAGCAGACACCTGATCTCCCTTGCCCAGAATCAGTTGCCCCTGCTTAATATCACTTCCCACCTCCCTAACATTTTCGCCTTCGCGAACTTTATCAGCCGCTAAGATCTCCACCTCCTTCTCCTCCTCCACGCCCTTTCCATCCTCCGCATCCTCCGTCTTGGATGTCGTCGTTGACACCAACACCGTATCCTCCACCATAATAACCGATGTCGCACCCGGAGGCAGGGGCGCACCCGTGGTGATCCGGGCGATCTCGCCCTCTTTGAGCGTCGGCATGTTTTCCCCATCTCCAGGAGCGGCATGCGAAACCGACACGACGGGGAACACGCCGCGCATGTTCCCGTCTTGGGGCACGACTACGGCGTAGCCGTCGACGATGCTAGCGCGAAAAGCGGGCACATTTTCGCGCGCCAAAACGTCCTGCGCCAGAACGGCGCCGATGAGCGAGCTATCGACTTTGGAGGTGACGATTTGCGGGATCGGCGTATGTTGCGCTATTTGGGAGAGCGCTTCGGAGACGGAGAGCATCGGGTAAGGAGACTCGCGGTGGCGGCGGCTGGGACCTAGGCTGGGATCGTTGGACTTGGGGTTTTCAGAGGGGGTGGTGTGTCGGACTAGACCGGCGTGGCCGTGTTTATGGCCATGCCCATGAGCGCCACAGCCTCCCTCTCCTCCTCGGTGCTCGCCATGGTCGTGATGCTTGTGTCCATGTCCGTGTCCTTGTCCATGACCATGTCCACGTCCACCACCTCCTTCCACTCCCGCCTCTTGCTCCAATTTCTTCACTCCCCCCTTATGTAAAGCTCTAGAGTTAGCACCAGCAGCCTGCATGCAAGCGTGGGGCAGCATTTTAATCACTGCTTGCAGATTCTCCTTTGCGCCCTTGGGGGACCCAGGCAGCGTAATGATAACGGTGCCGTTCCTGACGCCAGCCACAGGTCGTGACATCATGGCAAAGGGGGTAACTTGCAGCGAAGCCGCCAGCATGCCGTGGACCAGGCCAGGAGCATTCTTGTGTAGGAGAGCCGAGACGGCTTCGGGGGTTTGGTCGGACACGGCGAAGCCGGTGCCGCCTGTGGTTACAATGAGATTGATGGTGTTGGTGTTGTTGTCGCCATTTGCGGCGGTGGCTTGGTTTGTCCAGTGGATGATTTGCTTCTGGATTTGCACGACATCGTCGGGAACGATTTTGGATTCATGGACCTCCCATTGGGCTTGTTGTTCATCGAAGACCTGGCGGAGAGTGACGTCGGCCGAGTCCGTTGCGGGGTCTTGAGCTGCTGTCGTTGAGACGATAAGGATGGCTGCTTTGAGCGCTACTGGAGTAGTACTTGAGGACATGATTGAGAGACGTGACATACGGTACTGCGCTGGGGACACGGTGTAACAGAATCTCCTCGTTCGTGCCAACTACCTTATTGATTAACTCTGCAGAAAAGGGAGTATTGTGATGGTGTCATGGTGTTGATGTGCCATGCCGGCACTCGGAAGCTGATAAGATAGGCATCCCTGTATGTACCTCAAGGTACCTGGTGTAGTTCCCCACCAAAACTTCATGTGGGGAAGTGGAGCATGTGAGGATCGAGAGTTTGCATGCTTTTGCCGGCGGCAATTATTTGTAACTTGATGTCTGAAAGTTGAATTCAATTGCATTGATTTCACTCTCATTTCACTCCATTGCACGTCAGTGATAGCGCACCTTCAGCTTTTTGATCCACGATTGCACCGGATCAAGTTCTGTTAATTCTATCTGTACGGGCGTTCTCAGCAAACCGTTTTAGTTTTTTTTTCTTCTCCGTTTGAAACGACGTCTTCGGGAAAACTCCTACAACCATGGTCCGCCTTAAAGATCGCTATCTGTTGGTCAACATTGTCTACGCAGACATTCCTCCTGGACAAAAGGGCCCTGTACCCGATCTGCTACTTTACAACCAGCCCACCATTGGAGAACTCAGGCCCCAAACCATCTTGAAGGGCATTCGCAGTCAGGTGAATGCGTTATTTGGTGATTGCGGGTCAGGCTCTGTCGAGCGCAGCCTACAAGGTAAACACACGACTGAACTCTAAAACTTACACTTGGTAAAAGCGGCCACTAGGCTAACTTGGTATAACAGTCAAGTACCTTTCTACTGCGACCTCAACCTTCATTCTACGTATCTCGCGAGCCCATTACAGGCTTGTCTGGGCTGCCTTGACCTTTATGGACCGCCTCCCAGTCAAGGATGGCCGACCGTGTATCTTCCGGGTTGTCCGCGTCAGCGGCACCATCCGCAAAGTCGAAGAAGAAGCCATCCGCCGTGCCAAGCTCCTTGTCCTTGCAGCAAAGGATGAGATGGCCGGCAAGGCGTCATCAGACGCCCTCAATGCTCTCTTCCGCGGCGGCAAAGATTCAGCCCGCAATCTCGCCTTGGTCAACGATGACCACGATGACGCAGAAATGGACGAGGGTGAGGTCTCTGATGGATGAACAACCATGCCATTCGATCGTCATGTGTTCTGCTTACGCGTCACACGGATCCCCGAGCCACTGGTAAACTGTAGCGCCACTCCAGGGACCGAGCCGTCACCGAGACCTGCTTCTTCAGCGGCCCGTGCCTGCTCCGCCCGCAGTTTTTTTTGTTCTTCCTCCTCCTTCCGCTCCATCTCGTCATACTCTTCTTTGTTATCGATCCACCTCTCTTGAATATCAAGGGCATCGGGCAATGACGACTCGTTGCGCATGGCAACCTGCCAGACGGTGTCGTTCGTTCCCTCAGCGCCGCCAAAGACGTACCCACTTGCACGGTCAATCACGCGCAACAGATGCATCATACTCTTCTTGTTCTCGACTGCCAGCACCTCGAAGCTGACAAGGCCGAACTGCTCAACCATATTCGCAACGGCCTCGTTAAGCTTGGTGAATTTGCCTTTCTTCAGGGCAGGCGACTCCGCGTCGAGGGACGGCATGAGGTACCGTAGGTCTTGTACTTCGGTGTAATAGTCGAGGTTGAATGGAAGAGGGTCGTAGGACGAGATCTTGTCAATCTTGGTCAGGACGTTGATGTGGGGAAGGTCCATCTGCAACATGGCGCGCAAAGAGAGGAGGACGTTGGAGATGTAGAGCGATGGTTGTGTGAGGCAGAAGCAGTCGGAAAGGTGGACAACTACCAGCTGCGAGAAAATTAGCGGGAAGGACTGCGATTAGAGAGACGAGGAACAACGGCGCACCCTGTAGCCCAGCTTCTGTAACCGGTAAAAGATGTTGCGTAACGAGTTGTGGTGGGTGTAGAGCTCGACTTGACCGGGGCAGTCGAAAAGCACATAGTCTTCTCCAAGCTCCTTGAGGCCGTTCTCGAGCCATTCCATGTTATTTTCCAGCTCTTCAAGTGCGTACAGAATACCGCCATTGGGGCCCAATTTGTCGTCTGCCATAATCTCCTCCAAAGTGACAAGGTCGCGAATGTCGAGCGCGCATGGGTAGTTGGTGTGGTCGTTCGCAGGGTCGAGGTTGACTACCGAGCATTGTCGCCCGATGGCGCCCATAAACTGCTGCACTGGCAGTGGGGAGGTCATGTTAGCACCCGTGAAAGTACTAGCACAAGGAAGGAAGTTTCACAACTTACTGCCATCACAGTATGTGCTCTTTCCTGCACCGGGACTGCCGAGTACTAACTGTCCGAACGGCATTGTAACTTGTTGCTCCAATGTGATGTGTTTAAATACGGCGTGACGCTCTCGTTGGTTTTCACTGGCGTACGTAAGAGAAAGGTGCAAATTTCGGATGTTCGAGGGAGAAGTGGAAGCTGTTCGAAAGACGGGAATGCTTCCTTCAACAATGCAACCCCACCAAATGTCGGGTCGGCTCTTCATGAGATGACGGAACGGCGCCCACCCCTCCACCAAATTCTAGAACGCCTTGTGGATCTGCGTCAAGATGGACAGGGTCTGGTGCTTGACCCGAACGGCATCTGCAACTCACTCCACCTCTCAACTTCCAATCAGCTGCCCGACCCAGCTCGGAAAGAGGCCTTGAATCAGGCGGTAACCCATGGCAGAACTTTGTTTACTTGGAGTTGCACTCCCGGTCAAGCTCCCTCCCCTCTACTAATCCTCCATTTCGTCGTCCGGCGATTGTAACAATTTCGAAGCTACGTCAATACCACGTAGGCTTTAATCTACACACCACCCACCACACACAACACCATCACCACAATGGCTCCTTGTAAGCTCGGCTTTCTCTCAAGAAGCTACTATCATATGTGTCCTCCCAAGCTAACGTCGCGTAATTCTAGCAACGCAATTCGAAGTGTCACAGCCGCCCAGTGACGCTATCTCGGCCGTGATCTTCGCCCCCGATAACACCAACCGCCTGCTCGTTTCTTCATGGGATAGGAACGTCTATCTTTACGAAATCGCCGAAGGAACCGAAGATGCCACCCTAATCAACAAGTTCGAGCACCGTGCTCCCGTCCTTGATGTCTGCTTTGGCGCGAATGGAAATGAGGCCTACACGGCGAGTCTGGACTGCTCAGTCAAGAGGTTCGTTGCACACATTGCTTATCACCTATGGATGCCCAGCCTTATGCCACAGATCTTTGTGGATGCTAACGCGAATTAAACAGAATCGACCTGGCCACAGGAGAGCAGACCGTGCTAAGCACGCACGAAAAGCCCGTCCGATGCGTCGTCTACAGCCCTCAACACTGTAAGTCCGAATCATTACAGTCCAATCATCCAACCGCAACCCCACGCATTATATTCGATAAGTATGTGAGACATCAACTAATCTGGCATTTTCTTCTCCCAGCCATGCTCATTTCCGCCTCGTGGGATCACACTCTCCACGTCCATAACACCTCCGCGCCGGCCTCGACCCCGATCACCATCTCGCTTCCAGGCAAGCCGCACGCCCTCGCCGCCAGCCCCTCCAAAGTTGTCGTCGCCATGACCGCACGACTAGTACACATCTACGACCTACCCACGCTCGCCACGGCGCTCTCGTCAGCCGACCCTGCCTCGGCGAACATCACCCCCTGGCAACAGCGCGAGTCTTCGCTCAAGTTTCTCACGCGCGCCGTGGCCTGCATGCCCAACGACGCTGGCTACGCCACCAGCTCGATTGAGGGCCGCGTCGCGGTTGAGTGGTTCGAGGACACGGCCGAGTCGCAGGCGCGCAAATACGCCTTCAAGTGCCACCGGCAGACGGCGCCCGAGGAGGAGGGTGGCGGCGACGTGGTCTATCCCGTCAACGCGCTGACATTCCACCCCGTGTACGGCACGTTTGCTTCGGGCGGCGGCGACGGCACCGTGGCGTTGTGGGACGCCGAGGCCAAGCGCAGGATGAGACAGTATCAAAAGTTCCCTGACAGCGTCGCGGCGCTGGCCTTCTCGAATAATGGCAAGTATCTTGCCATTGGTGTGTGTCGCGGGTTTGAGACCGATATGGAGGACTTTAATAGCGAGGGGAGGACGAAGGTGTTCATTAGGGAGTTGGGTGAGACCGAGGCCAAGGGCAAGGGCCCCAAGTGAGACTCGGATCTCAGTTGTCTTTTTTGCTGGTTGTCTGTCGTCTCTCTTCACGTCTTACTGTCTTGTGTAACATCTTTCCGGCTATAATCTGGGTGTAATCGGCGTTTATATAATATGGGACAAAGGGCGGGCTGGGATTATTGTGTGGCATTGCTATTTGCGGAAACGTCGTCGGAAAAAAAAGGTAAATCGACATTGCGAGTTTTGGTAATTGATTGTCCTGGCCCACGTCTGGACAACTAAGAACAAGATAGACAAAAATATATGTGGTTATTTTTACACAATTCAGTTTCCTAAGTCAAAATCATCATGTTGTTGAGCTTGATGCCTATGCAGACTAGAAAGTAAAACATTGAACATTCCCTTGACTCGCTGGCGCTGGTATGCTAACACAACCCCATTGATACATGTCTACTTCTGATACCTACATGTCTTTGACCTCCTATCAGAACTTCCAACAAAAAACTACATCCCGCCAACCGATCATCATCACCCCCACCTAAATCACATAATACTTCGGATACAAATACAAAGATCACACTCCTTTCTTTCTCATCCTCTGTCATCTTACTATACCGCAGAGTTCGACCTTTTAAGCCCCGGATTCTCCGGTCCGCGAGAGGTGGAAGGAACTGCAGATTTCGCTCTCGAATTCAGAGGTCGTAGAGGAGTAGGAGTACGAATGTCAGTCTCCGAGATGTACGTCTCCCAGCCTGAACCTGGGGAGGTCATTTCACTTGGCGGTGCATCTTGACCTTGAATTTTGACCTGTGCTTGATGGCTCTTCTGACTCTGACGGTAGTGTTGTTCCCCCAGCGTATCATGAGAGGTAAGTTTGGCGGGATCTGTTGTCGTATCAATCTGGCTCTGATCTACAGTTCCGCATTTCGACGACGACAAATCTGTTATGGGCGTAGACTTGGCATCGGTGCTCTTTTTCAAGATGGCTGTCTTGGGGTCGTCTGCTCCAGAATTATCGTTGTTGCCCGGCTCTTTTTGTTCCTCTACCGGCTTTTGGGCAGGCTTTTGGACAGGTTTTTCGAAAAAGGGTTCAAGAGGTTGCTCAAGATGCTCTTGGACATACCATTCACCACCTTCTTCCGTGAGTACTTGAACTGCATTACCTGCTTGCTCTTCAAGAGCCTCTTGTTGTTGGTGGCGTGTCTCTTGATGATTGGGAGAAGAACGTGCAGAGACATTCATCCTTGCCGGAGACTCACCAAGCTCAACAGATGGCTCCCGAGCAATGGCCGCTTGGGGTTCATTCTCTTCCTCATGGTCCTCCATAGGCACATCACCTTCAACTTCCAATGCACTCTCCATTAAATTCTGTGTCTGTTTTCGTTGTTGTTCCGAAACTGGTACAGCAGTCATGTGCTGTCGTCCCTCCACCTGATTTGCGTATTTTCCCAAGATAACGCTTTCGAGAATGATCTTTGGTTTCAAAACGGTTGGTAGCAGTTCCTTGTCCTCCAAGGGGTTGTCCTTCTTCTTCAGTAGCTTGCGTCTCTTCCTCTGACGTTCGGTTTGTCTGGGGTCAGGGAGAAAAGAGTTGTCGTAGGCCCTCTTCATCATCATCGTCGTCTTCTTCTTGTGATTCACAATATGATCTTTTTGGGGAGGACTTGCGAAGCTGGACTGTGTCAAGTCCAAAGCACCCACTCTTGACTTAACTTGAGGTGCTTTCCTCTTAGCAGTTGGACGCAAGCCCAACTGAACCAGCCCGTTTGGTTTTGCTTCGTCTTTGGAGAACCCGTCGCCGAACTTGTACTTGGCAGACAAGCTTGCTGTAGTGCTTTCTTCAACCTTGCGCTTCAGTCTCTTGAACCCGCGTGGTGGTAGCTTGTCAAAGAGCAAGAATGGACGACGTCTCAGGAGATTGGACTGATCTGTGACAGTCTTGGGTATGTACTTGGTGCCACTGCTGAACCTCACCGATGAAGTAGGAGTAGTCTTGGATTCTTCGGTGGTCCCTCGTTCGTCTTTGTCTTCGTCGGTGCTATACTCCAAGCCGGTATCCTCTTCTGTCGCATAATCGCCCGGGCTGTGGGAAGTATCTGAAGCGTATTGAAGTTCTGGAACTCGTGCATTTTATGGTTAGATTCTCGATCTGCGCCGGGTTATGACCGCCATATGTAGGAAAACGTACCGAATTCTAGCTCATTTGCTTCCTCGAATGCATACTCAGCTTGGTAAGCAAAAGTCTCTTCCTCAGGTATTATACCATTATCGAGGCGGTCTTTGTTCCCGGGCTCGGGTTCACGTTGATGCTTCTTCGCAAGGCTCGCTGGTGAATGTGTGGCCCTTAACAACGGAAGCACACTGGGCGAGGCAGTCCGCACTTTGTGGGAATAGGTACGCAAAGGGCGAGGTCTAGCATAATCTTCAAAGGGAACCTGAGGCTCCATTTGTTGTATGGTTTCAGCAGATGCGTTTGCCTGGTTCGTCAAATTAAAAAGTGATGTCCAACTGCGAGGAAGACCAAGTTGGCAAAAAGTCCGGTTTCAAGATTATGTTTCCCATTACAATTTGTGTGAGCTCAGGGCTCGGTGCAGGCTGTGTTCTGTTGAAAACATGGGAAGGAACGTTGGGTGCTTTGAAGCAATAGCGCAAAGAACGATCCTGCAGCTAAGAGCATACATGCCGACATTCCACACAACCAATATGTGCTCCCAGCACCTTGGGGAAATTCAATTCACAATTCATGGAATTATCGATGAAGGAAAAGATGAGAGGGCATACGGTTTATCTTCCCACGTGGGTTGGTGACGCCACAACACCAGGTCGTAGTGATGCTCCCAACGTGGGCAGATGACGTTTATCTGAAAATGGTGATATCAAGAGGGAACGTAACCAAGTCCATGGACACACTCCTGTCTTTGTGCCTGGGGCTACCATATCAAGACCAGTCTACTAAATATTGACGTTGAGACTTGGTTCCCTACTGTATGCCCCCGATTTCGCTGCCCTGAACATCATAGTTCTCACATTGGGCATTACGACGAACTTGACAGAATGGCATGCACTGCTTAGTTGTCACAAAGTACCATCTTCCTCATTCTGCAACAATGATGATTTTGCATTTGATTGATACTGTCTGCTTGGCTTCCCTTATTAGAAGTACAAAGTCCCAGAGAACTGAATATCAATAACCGTACAAGAAAACCTTGGTAACTTCTAGTAATCCTCCAACCTCCCGGTTATTATTACCACGTGCCAGAACTGTAAAGATTCCCCATCCCATGAAAAAGTTCGGTTAGTAATTAAGCACCCGCCACATGCATTGGCATAGCCAGTTGATTAAACATCCGTATCGATCATGTGCTCCAGACCTATCGTCAGAAGCAACTTAATGATGGCCACAGATTAGCGATGCCGAGCTGTTGAGCCCTTCCCAAGAATCACATCAGTTGTATCGTATACTCGAACAAAGGGAAGCCAGATCAAAGACAGGAATATCGAGGCAAAGCCCTCGTAGCCAACTACGGCTTCTCCTTCTTGATTGTGGGCGATGACTGGGTGCTGCCGTTTGCAACCGTACCGGACTCGACGATCGTGACGCCCTCGTCCGCTGATCCGTCATCCGAAGACGATGCGCCGGTGGTCAGGTTACCCGGCCTGCAGAGAAGATGGTTAGTTGTCACGACGAACTGAAGTCATCTTCCAGCTTCCAAAAACACGCATGCCGCGTTTCTCGCTTGAGAGTGATGCCTGAGCTCCCAGGGCGATAGTGCAGGAGGATGCTTTCGGAATGCTGGTGGAGCTGTACCTGACCGCATGGCTTCCACCCTGAGACATGGAAGAACCCATTCCACTGTCGCTGTTGACGTTAATGCGGATACGGGCGCCGGAAGCAAACGAACTGTGTCCAAAGTTAGTCAGCACCTGACTGTCGTTGAACATTGAGGGTGAAGGGTGACTCACGTATCAGACGAGTGGCCGGCGCTAATGCGACGGTTCCACGGAGCCTGGTGGTTGTAGATGCTGGGATGAATGCCGACATCCGCAGTTCCGTAGGCGCCAATGTTGTACTCGTTGGTGCGGAACTGGCGGCGCTCAGCCGTGATGCGCTTGAGTTCCTTCTGCGCCGGAGTGTCGGCGTAGCGAACCTGCATCAGCATTCCCTCCTCTCCAATCGGGGCACCGTGGAATTTCTTGATGACATCCTCGCACTCATCACGGGTCTCGAAGCTGTTTTCATGTTAGCTGATATCCTCGGATAACGGATAACTTCAAGCAGTGATGGGACTTACCGAGCAAAACCGACACCGCGGCTGTTACCCATGCTATCTCTGAGAATCTTGCTGGAGACAATGTGATAGCCAACAAAGATAGCATTCAGCTCCTGAAACGGTGTTAGAGTCCACAAAAACGCACGACAAGACAGAGGATTTACTCACCGCCTCAGTCAGACGCTTGGGCAAGTTGGACAGATAAAGGTTGGTGGAGCTCTCATCTCCCTCTGCCTTGAGACGGGCGTTAAAGCTCTCGCGAGCAAAGCCAACCTCATAGCCCAGATGGTGGAAGCCACGGATGCACTTCTCTGAATCACGAACATTGGCAAACTTGGCAAAGCCGAAGCTATTGCTTTGGTCAGTACATGGATGAAAGACTGTACTATCAGGCAATGGGACACAACATACCCTTTGCAAGCTCCAGTAGACGTGTCAATGATCGCCTTGCTCTGCTCAACCTTGCCAAAGCGGGAAGCATAACGAAGCAGCAACTCATCGTCAGTGGTGGGATGAAGGCCACGGATGTAGACGTTGCGATTACCCTGAATGCGGTTCTCCAGGCACTGCTCGATGGATTTGGTGTGAGTGGGCGGGGTGAACACGGCAGGAACCGCATCAGGGATGGGAGGATTCTGCTTGAGCAGAGCTAGCAGCTCCTCGTCGACAATAGGTACGGATTTAACAACACCGCCAGATGCAACAACCTGCTCCGGGGAAGGAGTGTTGAAGCTGGAGCGGATCACAGCAATTCGACCATTACCACCACGGTCCGAGAAAGTGCCAAAGAAAGGAGTAGCAGGGGTGGACTCGTTGGTGGAGTACGAGCCCCTACGGTTCTCGAGCCCAGGAGCCTCGCTGCTGCGCTCACCGTACGAGGCGACACGGCCAGGCGTGTAAGGCACAGAATGGTAAGGAATAGGCAGGGGCGCATATCCAGCCTGAACGGGGTACTGTCCGGCGACGCCAATCTGGTAAGCCGCCTCGGGGGGAACGCCGACGTGCATGGGGACAGGGTAAGTCTGGTAAGCAACTTGCTGGTCCTGCATGTAGTACTGGTGACCAGCCTGGTTTTGAGGGGCAGTCGGGTTGCCAGGACCAGGAGGCAAGGCAAGGCTGCTGAACTGACTCATAACGGCGTTCATGTTGTCAACGCCATGGTTGACCTGATGACCATGGGTCGCAGAGCCGTCATGCTGAGTACTGCCAACTTCGGTTGTGAGGTAGCTTTGATAGTTTCCCTGGCGGTTGTTGCCGGTGTCGGTGACGACACCCGGGTTGGTGCGATAATGGGCAGACATCTTTGATAGAACGTTGGTCTGGGTTTGCCATAGTTAGCTCCATGCCCTAAGTTCCACCAAGTCACGCCAAAGAAGGAGAAATGGCAAGTGTCGGTAGAAGGTGAGCGCAGAGAAGGTCAACCCTGCATTGATCGTGCGACCGCAAGCCCTTGGAATTGGTGCTGGACACTCGCCGAGTATCCATCCTGAGGGCAGCGATGACTTGAAAGCAAGTGATGAATGTGCTTGACAGGTGGGAAGGATGCTCAGGAGACAGGTGACCATTGCTTTGGCGCACTCTCATTGAGCAAAATATGACCCGAAAGATTGGATAAGGTGACGCGCTTGAATCCCTTGAACATCCTGAGAGACCAATTGGGGGCAATTGTACGGGTGAAGGTGATTCAAAGTGCGCGACGTGATGGGAGAACAGAGCGAGGGGCGGAGGGGAAGTTATCACGAACCATTGTGCCTGATTGACTAAGTACTTGTTGACGCGTCGCTGAGGATGAGATGTGATAGTGGGGATGCTTTAAAAGATGCAAAGAAGAGGTGCTTGATACTCAATGGAGCTCAATGGATATCTGTGAAGATGATAGAGAACCAATTCAAGATGATATCTGGTGGTAACCCGTGAGAGTTTTGATTGTTGTGATCAATTCGGGGATTGTGTGGGGGGAGAGGAGATGAGGAGGAAGAGGAGGAGGAGGAGGAGGAGAAGAGGGTAAAGGTTCAGTTGGAACGGAAAAGGACCGAGACTTCGGCGGGAGACCGGAGTGATTGGCCGGGAAACGCAGGCAAACACCTTCTATCCTCAGGCTGCCATGAACCCGCAGGCAGAGCATACTTACGTCGAACGTCAACTTACCTCCAAAACGAGATGTGGTCCTTGTAACAAACGGCTGATTGGATCAGGCTTGGAGAGATGCTTTGGTGACAAGAAAGCGGCGGCCGGCAACGATGATGTAAGAACCAAAGACTCTGATGCAAGCGAGCGCAGGGGGAGTAAGAAGATGATCCGAGCTATCAAGCAAGATGAATTGAAGAGACTGTGGTGGTCGCTGGGATGGATCGTGTGTTGATGCTGTAATGATCGGAGGAAGAGTCTACCAAGAGTTGAGAGACAGGAAAGTTGAGCTGGACTGGATGGCGGAGGGAGGGCGGTCTTTTAACTCCTGTCAATCGATCTTCGTCTGGTACCTAAGTAAGATGGAGTGATGGATCAGTGCCGTTGAGGTTGCTTCCTCACGATGTAAACAAATGTCAAGGGCAGCCACGACGTGGACTGGCCAAGGAAGGAGGCGATGTTCCCCAGTAGCCTGCACTACTGTAAAGGTAGGACCCACGATATCCTCCAGGAGAGCTGAGGATGGGAATAATGATAAATAAGGAAGAACTCCCGTATGCTAAGCTCCAGCTTGCCGCGTTGAAAAGGGTATGTTGAAGGGAAGACGACGAGAAGGAAAAGAAGGAGATGTCTGGCCATGCTTCTCGAGACTGCACTCGCAGCAGGGACTGGGATCATCGACAGGACAGAGAACTACTTACTCTGAAAGTCGATGATTAGATTTGAGCTCAAAGGAGGAAGGAGAGACCCCGTTGTCAATACTAGAGATACCTTTACACATCAGGCCGGCAACCCCAAGTTCGACGTTTTTTTTCCCCCTATTGACAGGAAGGGAGCAGAACAATTGACTGAGCTAACGAGGTGTCCTTCACTACTGTAGTGCCGTGGTCTAGATGGAAAGGCAGTGACGCTGGTGGCATCCACTTTCGTAGTGAGGGGAACGAAAGTAATGATACAACTCCAACTTGAAGCAATCGCTGTGAATGGTGTTGCTCATGATGCAGGTGTGAATCTTAGCTTGGTGTTTCCTCCTTGCTCTTGCCGTCTAT